CATACTTACTGAAAAAATCCTAAGTGAATCTGTTATGTTCTGTGTACTGTGCTGGAAACATCTTGGTCTATACCTTTAAGGTAGTATTGTAATAAATGTGCAAAGTATTTGGGAAAAACCAAATGAAAGAATCATGTGGGCTGATTATTTTCTCTTCGATCCTCAGCATTTTGATTCATGATAATCACTCATTACATCAGGTTTTACATTGTGTCCCATAATTAGCTTGTTGTAGAGGTCATGGCTCAGCTGGGAACTTCCCAGCTGCCCCAACTGATATTTCTTAGAAATCACACCTCCCACTTTTCACATTCTACCCCCAGACTAACTTTTTCTTTTGAAAAGGCATTTACACAGGGGTTTTTCCCTGCTTGTGTTTAGATATTTTGATCTCTCGTCAAATGTTGTTTGAACATGGAACATAAAGAAGCCCAAGCTGCCTTGACAGACATTATAATCTTGGTGGGGTGCCACAGAGCAAAGTGGAATGTGCATATGATGAAATTACATTGTAAAAATATGGTAGAAGAAGAGGAACAACCCGTGAGGCCTTAAGTCATCAGAGAAATTCCCACAAAAATGTTGGATTTTAGCTCAGTATAAGGAATAACATGGATTTGGTTGGGAAAAGTGCAGGAAAAAAAGATTCTGTTGGAAGGTATGGCATGGACAGGTGTGCAGAGGTGGGAATGGGTATCATGAACTGTGGAGAGCAGGACTGAAGTAAGATGGCATCAGTCCTGTCAACTAGGAAGCCATGTTTAGAACACGTACAGTAGAGCAACAGCTCAGAGGGATGATACAGCCCCTCAAGCATGCACAGTACAATGTGGCAGATGGCATGTGCCTATCTGAAGGGTAACACCATCCTCCCAGGGCATGTGCAGCAGAGCAACATAACCAACATGTCCTTATCAAGGTGGCACAAAACTACATGTGTTAATCAAAGGCTGATGCAACATTGCATCATAACAAGAGTATTGAAGCAGAGGCCTTTAAACAGACAGCTGAGAGCTCTGAAAGGAGTTCCGCTCCCCCAATTCACCCTGCTGTGGCTAACTCTGAGGTGGCCATTAATTCTGCCTTGCAAGATGCTGACTGGCTGCCTCCTTGACCTGGACTCTTGGAACTTGGGTTAATTATCCCCCAATTCTCTTGTGTGATGTTATTACTGATTGTTTCTGAGTGATTATTATCATTATTGGGTTATTATAGATTTGGATTGAACTTGAATTAATAAAATCTGAGTCACCTGTGTTGACTCACTGTTATTCTTTTGTGCCAGTGTTGTCTGTAGGGCTGGCAGCAGTATAGGTGGCCCAGTGTCTCCTGTCTATGACAAAGACTGGGGGCTGACTTATAGAGAAAACTACAGCATGGATACCTTACGAGTATCTCACGTGAGCTCCAAGCTCTCAAAGTGACTAGGATGCCAGCCTGGCTGATGCAGATTTATGTTGAAGAATACCAGGCTGGGGACCATGAAGTAAGGCACTGGAGAACCCCTGAGCACAGGGCTGACTGGTTTAAGCTGGCCCTTGATGAGCAATGGGGGAAGGAGTATATGAGTCATGTTTCATCTGGCACTGTGTGGGGAGATACTAGAAGTGGGGACACTAGTCATAGGCTGCAGAAGAAGGTTCAGAACATTTGAGAATGATTGGGTATGGGTGGCCAAGGGAGAGAACAATAAGGTATAGCAAATGACTCCAGAATGTCTGGCCTGGGTGATTGGGAACGACAGGGTGCCTTGCCCACCAATCAGTATTTTATAAGAATTCTTCCTTTCAGATGGCTTTGTTCCTTTTCCAATAATTTTTTTCTCCCCATCTTGTTATATCTGGAACCTAGGGATTATTTTTGAAAAGAAAACAGGGAACGTGTTCCTGCTGCAACGTCTATTTGGCATTCAAAGTAGGGTCTGCAGCCAAGTTTGGCATGAAATTCAAAGGCAGCAGTGGGCCTGTGACATGTAGCCTAAGTACTTCAAGATACCAAGTCCGTCTGCTTCTCTCTTACTGTCTAGCTATTAGAACTAATACAAGTCAGTACGTCTTACAGCTGGGGACTGGAGGGGATGTTAAAAGATCATCTAGATAATTTCTCTGCCTTCAAGGAGTAGTAAACTGAAATCATTCCAAATGTATTAAACATCTTTTGTAAATTACATTCTCTGCAGGGTCTCACCAATGAGCCCTGGGAAAGCTCTTTAGGATTAATTGATTACTATCAGAAAATGGTTTATGTGTAACCTCTCATATTTCAGTTTCGAACTTCCCTTCCCCTTTTTTTAATGGGGAGACAAAATAGCTGCTTATTGTCTTCTTGATAAGAAGCCTTCAGATTCCGAATCTGTTTTTCCTTAAATATATTTGTTTCTGAAACTTTTCCTTATATGCCCTTAAATAATATTCATTACTTGATGCTGAATCCTCCCTCAAGTTGGTCGCTCTTCTTCAGTTAGGAAACACAAACAGGACTCTGTATTCTGGAAACGGTTTGGCCAATTTGACATAGAAGAACAATGATCCAGTGATCCTACGGATCAGAACTACTTCCTCCAGGACTATACTGGCTCTTTAAACCACAGTTTAAAGAGGATGACTCTAGGGTCTTTAAACCAGTCAAGAGAATGGCTGACGGTCATTTGTTGTCCTATTGTTTTCCTACCAAACTTGTATATCACTGTCCCATCTTTCTCAATAACCCTCCCTCACCACATGTTTCTTCTATTTTTTTGTTATAATAAGTTTCAGTTGTACAGTACAATGATTTGATATTTGTATATATTGCAAAATGATGCCACAAGAAGTCTAGTTAATATCCACACTACACATAGTTATGGATCTTTTTTCCCTGTGATGAAAACTTAAGATCTTCTTTCTTAGCATTGTTCAAATATGCAATATGGTATGATTAACTAGAGTTGCCCAGCTCTACATTACATTACAGGTATTACAGGACTTATTTTATAACTGGAAAATTGTACCTTTTGATCATCTTCACTGATACCTCCACACCTTACCCTCTGCTCTGGCAACCACCAATTCACGCTCTGTATTTATGAGCTTGGTTTCTTAACTTCAGATTCCACACCTAAGTGAGATCATACAGTATTTGTCTTTCTCTGATTTATTGTACCATAATGTTCTCAAGTTTCATCAATATTGTTGCAAATGGCAAGATCTCATTCTTTTTATGGTTGAATAATATTCCATTGTGTGTATATTTTATGTGTGTGTGCATGCATGCGTGTGTGTGTGTGTGTGTGTGTGTATCACAGTTTCTTACCAAATATTTCTTTAATGGACCATGATTAAATGGTTTTAATTGGTTATTCAATGAACATATGGACACATTTTTTAAAATATTACAAAATGCTTGGTGTTATGGTCTAAATGTTTGTGTTTCCCCTCTCCATCCCAACTTGTTGAAAACCTAATGCCCAAGGTAATGGCATTAGGAGGTGAGGCCTTGGGGAAATAATGAGGTCATGAAGGCAGAGCCCTCATGAATAGGATTAGTGCCCTCATAAAAAGATATCCCAGAGAGATAGCTTGCCTCTTCCACCTTGTGAGAGCACAGTGAGAAGTCTGCAGCCTGGAATGGGATCTCACCTGATCATACTGGCTCTCTGATCTTGGACTTGAGCCTCCAGAACTGTGAGAAATAAATTTCTGTTGTTTATAAGCTATCCAGTCTGTGGGATCTTGTTAGAGCAGCACAAATGAACTAAAACACATGCTAAAAAGAAAAAAGATACACAATGAAAAGTTTTTGTCCGACACCTGTCTCGGCCATCTACTTTCCTCCCACAGTGTCCAATCCCATTTCCTGATGCTTGTGTATTCATGAAGCTAGCCCATGCATATAAAAATAAAAGATATATATATATATATAAAAGTATTCTTAATACAATTGGCAGTGTGCTTTAACACTGCTCTACATTTTGTTTTTAAATTTAACAATATACCTGGGTACACACAGATCTTTCTCATTCTATTTTATGATACTGTACAGAATACAGTGTACTAGTCTGCTGAGTGGGTGTACCATAATATATTTATTCCAAACCTTTCTGAACACTTATACCATTCTCCAAAATATCCTCTACCACCTGAAGACTGTTGAGAAATATCATACTTCATCTTCACTGCACAGCTGTTTCCCAAGTGCTTGTAGCATTGTTCTTGGTGCTGTAGCAAATACAAGAAGCCATGAATTTGGCAGCCTCTGAAACTACAGCTTCATCAGGAATAAAAGACGTGGGTATGAGGAAGGCTTGATTATCAATTCGATAGCCCCACAGTTTTCTTCTCTTTTCAAGCATGTCAGACTCTTTCTAATGGCCTTCTACATGGTATGAATGGCCTTTCCACTTGCTGGATGTGCATGATTGTGAGGCTGATCTGGCTTATACTGGCATCCTCTCAAGCAAGGGGCCAGGAGGAAGGCCTGAATGAAGTGAGCCAGTGGGGAGAGCACAAGCTCTGTTTACAAAGGGAGTAGCCAACTGCTACTTTGCTCCAGGAAATTCTTTCCCTATAGGTTGCTCATTCTGACTGATTAAAAAGAATTCATGGATAACAGGTATATGGGATCTTTTTATTTTATTTCTTACAACCACATGTGAATCTATAATTAACTAAAAGTAAAAAGTTTAATTTAAAATAAAAACCAGAAACCTGGATCATTGTGTAAAATTACCTGATTGATAAATGTAGGCAAAATTTTAACACTGTACAGTCCCAATTAAACTCATCTGTCAACCAGATGCTGCCCCAGGACCTTCATTTTTGCTATCAGTGCATATTAAGTGTTACATGCTGTTGAGTCCGCTCTGATTCCTGACGATCTGTGCATAGCTGGAGCATTATAGTTTGATTTGCATGAAGCCTGTGGCAGCCAATCCATCAATTTGCATAAAAAGTACCTCTCATTACTTTGTCAAAGTCTTTGATAGTGGCCATTTCCACTTGTTGAGTTTCCTCTCATTCCAGGTCCTTGGATGTGGCTCTGTTGCCCAAGCTACCCTCAGTCGAGGACATTTTGGAGGAATCGTCACTATCAATGTTGGATTTGCAATGGCAGTCTCAATGGCCATTTATGTGACTGGAGGTGTCTCTGGTATGTAATAGAAATAATAAGAGTACTATCTACTATTATCTCAACCATTTCAATGTGCTAACACAATGCTGGGTGTTTTATATACCTTCATTTATTTAGATCTCAGGAGTGAGTCCTGCAAGAGTATGTATTTGATTCTATTTTTAGAAATGATAAATGTTTGGCAAATAGCAAGTGACATGTGCAAAGGCAACATCTGGCAAGAGACAGAGATGGGGGTCAGAACTCAGGAGTAACTGATTCCTGTATCCGGCCACTGAATCTGTCTTTTACTTGCTCTATGCCACACTTGGAAACCACTTACCAGGTATCTTGTGAATAGCCCAGTGAAGATTGCCACTCCACAGAGGCAAAGTCTCTGGACATTTATCCACAGCAATCAGAGTCTGGGTCACTGACTGCTGTTTTCATGGAAGTGCAGGTCTGACCCCGAGGTTCTTGGTCTAATTCTGCCCCGAGTGGTGGGCTGATTAGAAGCCATTCTCAAGGTTCTGAGAAGCAAAATGAAATGACGCTTAATGCAGCCTGGGAACTTACGAAGGGACTGTGAGAAGGACCTGGTTCCCGAAGGCTCTTGGAATCTTTCAGCAGCCTGGTCTGGGTGCTCAGGACACTAAGACAAGACTGTTGGTGATAAGGCAAAAGGGGAATGGTGCATGGTGGGCACTGTGCTGGTGGCTGTACCTACTTTATCTTCTCTCCTCTCTAGCAGGACTCCGAGACAGGTATTAGTGTCTCTGTCCTACAGGGAAAACTGGAGCTCTGAGGGAGGAAGTAAATTGCCTGAAGTCCCACAGCTGGTAAAGAGGCAGACCAAAGATTTGACCCAGGTCTACATGACATCAAAGCTCATGTCCCCGTTATCCAACATGTCCAATAGTCTGTTCTGGGAAAGGCATTACAAGCAGGGCCTGCAGTTAGACCTGCTGGCCTAATGACATGTGCTGTCATTGCAGCACTAAAGAATGATGACAGCTTGGACTCCCTGGGAGCCTCTTGGGCTGGTCACCCAGTACAGTCACTTGCTGGCTGGCCCCCTTTCTGTATCACAGACTCAGGTCTTGGGGCAGTACAGGTTACAGATTCCTGTAGGTGTAATCGTTTGGCATGAGCAGTGTTTCCTGCCGAGCCCCTGCCACGATCCCGGCACTGTCCTGCCTATCTAAGGCACAAGAATAACCAGAGGCCACCCTGAATGTGCATGTGTCAAGGATGAATTATAGCACAGACCTCGACACCGCACACAGGACATACTCTCAAATTAAAGCAGGCATGCAGGATGCTCCCTGCCACCCCTACATGCTACCATTCCATTCACAGTGTGGTTTCCACAAATGTGAGCATATTCTTCACTAGTTAGTTTGTGTGTGTGTGTGTGTGTATGAAGACATGTGGTTTGGGGGTAATTTGCTTACATGACACCCTGAATCGAACATCGTCAAATCTTTACTTAAGATTGCTTTGCCCCAAACCCTACCGATGTAAATAACACCTTTTACCACCACCACGGTCCGTGAGTGTTGGCATTCATTGATATACTAAGGAATTTGGGCAGTCACCATAGAGGGATAAGGGCAGCGACCAAGGGGCAGAGGGAGTGAAGGTTGTTGTGCAGACTTTCCACCTGGCCCTTCAACTGGGGTTATGCCCTTGGGCTCAGATGGGTGAGGGCCAGAACTGATGAGGCTGTTTTTAATAGTTTTGTTTCTGGGTGAGGGCTGGGGGCTGGCTGAATTGTTCATGGGAGATTGTGAGATCCCAAAATAAAAGCGGAGCAGTTTCTGAGCCTGACTGATGGAAGGTAGGAAATGGAGCTTATCTACCCTTCTCTATTTGCAACTCCCTGAAAACCAGTGGCTTTGGGAACGTGCACAGACAATACCCTAGCCCACCAATGACATCCATGCAGATTCTGTATTGGTCTTAGAAATCGCAGGAATAAAGAGCATTGTGTGCGGGAGGTGGCTTTCTCATGGTAGCTGCAGCTAACTTAATGGTTTGTGAGCACCCGCAAGGCCTTTGAGGATTCCAAACATAGCCAATATATATTGGGCATAAACATAAATGAGATCTCATTTTGTGGTCACAGACTGTTAAGGTGAGCGAGCCTCTAGTTTTGAAGTAGAAAATATTATCTTACTGCGAAGAAGTTCTTACCACACCCTGCTTCCCTTGCAAACATGCCAGTGGTCTGGGAAACCAACCCCACCAATCAGAACTCATAACACCCTCGTTATGCGACATCCAATGCTGGGTGTCACACTGCCTACTTATACCGAGGCTACAGTGGTTGTCTGGATGTAGCATTTTATAAGTAATATAAAGTTGCTGAAAATTCGACATAGCCTTGCTTAATGACAAATAAAATATTCAGGTTATCCGTGTCATAGAATTGTCTGTGGGTGGTGGGGAGGAGGGCACTGGTCTAGAACAGAACCTTGGAAGAGTTCAGTCTGCACACTTAAGACTTTTATCTCAGGCCTCAGGGGTTCTGGCTGCCCCTCCAGGCTCTTTAGGTGAGTGATCTGATCAGCACAACAACTTGGCAGGGCCAAACTATGAGTGCAGCACTCTGTGACTCTAGCACTCATGTTCTTTCCAGTACGCTGCTCTGCCTTGTCCTGTGGGTCAGCCAGAGTGACCACTCATCTCTGCAAGGAAGAATTGTCCTCATTGCTTTGCAAAGCACCCTCCCAGATACACCCTCTCTGGCCTCCGATTTCCCCTCTCTGTAGATCTTTGTAGTCGGAGCTATCTGGATAAAGGTCTCTATTTATTTTCTCAATTTTTATATCTTGAACATCTACTAACTGCCTTGCAGCATGGGAAGTCCAAGGTGAATAATAGTTCCTGTCTCAGGGTGCTTATGAGAGACTAAAAGCAAAAACCTACCTATGGGAAGTTTTGGAAAAGGAGTTTTCTAAACAAATAACGCTTCAACTGATGGACTCATCTGAGGGGGGCTATTTTTGTTTGGATATGATTTCTGATGTTCCATGGTCCTTTCACATTGGGCCCCCTGGGGCTGGCTGGGTGGCAGCTACTCTCCAGCCTGCTCCCTGGGAGACGGGGAACAGGGTTGGTGTCAGGAACTTCCCACCATCCTGTGTGCTCCCTGTTCCTAAACCCTATTTCTACCTTCCCTAGTACACTGTACTCCTGCTAGTCTACAGAATTGTAACTCTCTTGGATTTAAAAGTAAAACAAAACAGGTGACATGTTTGTAAGGCTTTAGGAAATCATCTGTGTTTTTGGCATATTGGCATTTTCTTGCTCATATTAGCCCCTGCATGTCAGGGGCAGATGTAGAAAGGACCTTGTGGTTTAGCCAATAGACAGAATCCACTCAGAAAATGTGATCACCTCAAAGTAAACTGAGCCCCTTACCTCAGTGACAGGCACAGCCCATCAGCCAAAGGACATTTTGTTTAAAGAGACATCTGTTTTTAGTTCTAAGATTGTTTTTATATCATCTAGACATGGACTGAGAAATGACTAGATATTGATGTAAAGTTTATAAGTATGTATTGTAAGTATATTGAAATTAACAGTTCATATCAATCTCTTAGAGGTTATTGCTTTATAGATAGAGAAAACTCAGTAGACAGAGGATGGATAGATAATAGAGAAATAGAGAAATAGAAAAAATGATACACTTGAGTACAAGTTTCTTTCTATTCAATATATCACAAAGCTAAATATCCTAAACAGTGTCTAATGATGCCATGAGGATTATTAGTCCTCCCTCCTCCCCACTCAACCTCTCTGTCTCTCTCTCTCCCCCCTCTCCCTTCCTCCCTCCCTCCCTCCCTCCCTCCCTCCCTCCCTCCCTCCCTCCCTCCCTCCCTCCCTCCCTCTATCCCACACACTCAACACACATACACATACACTCAAGACTGTGTGTCCTCACATACAGATCTCTACCTAGAAGACTAAGTTCTGCCTAGGGTTTTCTTTGTAGGAATTCTCCCTGATCTGCCCTCTAACATTCCTCATCATCTTATTTTCCTTGTAGGTGGCCATATCAACCCAGCTGTGTCTTTGGCAATGTGTCTCTTTGGACGGATGAAATGGTTCAAATTGCCTTTTTATGTGGGAGCCCAGTTCTTGGGAGCCTTTGTAGGGGCCGCAGCCCTCTTTGGTATTTACTATGGTGAGTAAGACCCTCGAGTCCAGAGGTTGGGGAGAGCTGAGCATAATTTGAACATCGGGATTACTTGGAAAAGCTTCAATAAAGCAAGAATAGGAAACAGTCTACAATTAATAAGCAATTTTAAGAGTTCTGTGTTGTAAATAATGGGGCCAACATTATTATTAGGGAAAATGCTGAAGCCTCTTAATGAAAATGGCCATGCAACTTAAAAAGGGGTGCAAAAATTAAAGGAAGCATATATTTAGGCCCAACCAGTACTGTAATGTGAACAAGCACAAAATAAGTAGCTGCATGGCTTAAATAAGTCATCTGATCTTATTGATCTCAGTTTCCTCCTCTGGAAAAATGAGGGAATTGAACTGTGGTAGGGGAGACCTGGGGTCGGCACAGGCTCTGCGGGGACTGCTGTCTCTCTTGCTCCAAGGGCAGTTTCACTAGACAAGACACCCTGAAATTGTGAACTGATGTTAGAGTTATGAATTCTGCCTAGAGTAGACCCAAGTTCTACACTGGCTTTCAGTCAATCTCAAAAATTTCAACAATTCCCCCAAAAGAAGATTATTTCCAGGGCATACTGGTTAAGGATCTGGCTCCAGGTTAGAGGGCAGCCAGAGCTTTCTATCCTTGACCAACCCTCCTGTGACTTCTCTGGGCATCTCTGAAGCTACCATACTACAAAGTGAAGAAGGCAAACAATATGGATCTTCCAAACTAAACCTGAACGTTTGACTGCAGTTGGTTAACACAAGACCAGTATAGATCTCTTTCACTCTTTCCCAGAGAAAATAACGTGCTGAGCTCTGTCTTCCACAGATGGACTTATGTCCTTTGCTGGTGGGAAACTACTCATCGTGGGAGAAAATGCAACAGCACACATTTTTGCAACATACCCAGCTCCTTATCTGTCTCTGGTGAATGCATTTGCAGACCAAGTAAGTGTACAGTCAACAGAGAGCTAACTTTGGTGAAAAGACAGGATTTAATATGGAGACTGCATGGGAGCATGATAGGCTTATCAGAAAGGAAAGGCTGTTTCCAAAGTCACAGGTTACTAGTGATCACCCAAGGTTACTAGTCATCACTTTGTTGACAAAGAGTTTTCTGCTTCCTCTTTAATGTATATACTTGTTTATACCAGTTGAGGCCCAGAAAATAGTGGATGACTGGACATTTCAACCTGTGTAGGGGTGGATGGGTTTGCTTCACTATGTCTCTTTTGTGCCCAAGATCTAAATGTGGAGACACAAAAAAAGACATTTCAATCTCAATTCAAGGACTGTGAAGTGAGGTAGTTGAGCCTTAGGGTATTGCAGATCCTCTTTGTCTCCCTATGTGAATTGGTTTATCCAAATTCTCAAGGAAGTTAGAAGTATCAGGGTTTCTCTGCCTTATTAATATTTAAACAAGTTGCATCCAAGAATCTGTGGTGTCGCCAGTAGAACAACTCTTCTGGTCAGTTTGCGGCAGGACCAACATTGTCAACTGAACAGACTCTTCCTCCCTTACTGTCCCCCAGGAAGGCTACTTGCTGGCTTGGTCAGGGCAGGGACGGAAGGGAGGGAGGGGGGAAGGGAGGAAACTCTAAGTCTTTTTCTTGTGTATAGGACTTACATAAGTGAGAGTGCACATGTGGATAAAATGGATCTTTCAGTTTGCCGACTCTGCTCTCCTCCATTCAGTGGGTGAAAAATCTATGTTAAAATCTATGTTCTCATAGCCTCAGCCTTGTTCCTTTTCACTTTGACCAATAAACCAAACAGGCAGCAAATTCTTACTGCACACTCACTATGTGTTCGGCCCTGTGTCTGGAGCTTGAAGTGCATAGTGCTATGAGTTGAAAGGAAGTGTAAGTTGTACAGATCCAAGACTTGGAGCTCAAGTGCCTAGATTAAAATAACAGTTCTGCCCCTAACTCCCTATGCAACATCAGGAAGTTACTGAACTTCTTTGGTCTCAAGTTGTTCATTTGTTAAATGGGGCTAATATTAGCACTTCTCAGGTTACTGATAAAGCTAGAATGAATAATATGAGGAAAATGTATTGCAAACAACATCTGCCAGAGGAATTTAGAATCTAGTTGAAGAACAAAATGAACAGATAAGAACACAAGAACAAATGAACATAAGAACAAAATAAACAATGCAAAACATCCTTCCTCTCTGGAGAGTAAGGTTGCAGGACATTTCTAGGTCATCGTACCTCGGGATCACTAAATTCTTTTGTTCTAAATATTGTTCAAGCATATTCTATAATTTAATTAACAGACAATCATCCTTTTACATAATAAATAATTATTGACAGCTACTGAGCTCCATACTGCTCCTTGTTCAAGGAGCTCAGGGCCTGGACTCTGGCAAGTAACAGATCACTCTCCTGCAGGGTGACAATGGCAAGGATAGAAGTCAAGTCAGTGGGAATCAGTGGCAAAGGCTTCTACTCTGCCTGGGACAGTGGAGAAGGCTTTCCAAAGAAGAGAGCTCTTGGGAGAACATATCTTTTTGAGTGCAAATTCTTGTGATATTATTAATTCAGAAAGCAGATGAAATGATGAAGAGCTTAAACTCTAAAATCAGTCGTCTAGTTGTCATCCTGATTCTTTTGCTTATGAGCTCTGGGCACTAGGGCAAGTTTCTTAACCTCATTCTACCCAAATTTTCTCATCTGTAAACTGAGGAAAATAATAGGATTAATCTCATAAGTTATTTTGAAGTTCTAATGAGATAAAGCATATTAAGTACCAGACCAATAATAAGTGTTCAGCAAATAATCACTATCCTTTAGCTGTTAAGGAAAACAGTAGTTTGGAAACTTTAGAAAACAAAAGTTTTCTAAACAAAAAGTTTGTAAGGAAAACACAAGCTAAAAGCCTTCACTTCAAAATACCTGTTATCACTTGTACCCCTCAGCTAGTAGAGCGGAGGACTGTAGTTGATTTCCAAAATACCTGTTTTCAATTTTTTTATATATTCTTTTAAAAGTTTCCTTTTATGTATGTTTTTAAATATAAAATATAATGTGCATACAAAGTTTTACTTTATATTAAAAGCATTTTTATGTTATCCCTTAGCTTTTATATATTTTTTAATATTTTATTTACTTATTTATTGAGAGAGGGGGAGGGAGAGAGAAAGAGAGGGAGAGAAACACCAATGTGAGAAACACTGATCAATTGCCTCTCATTCATGCCTGACCCAGGACTGAACCTGCAACCCAGGCATGTGCCCTGACCAGGAATTGAACCAGTGGCCTTTTGCTTTGCTGAATGATGCCGTGCCAGCTGAGCCATACCAGTCAAGGCTATTGTTTTCTTATTTTTTAAAAACAGTTTATTGAGATATAAATTCACATGCCATACAGTTCACCCATTTAAAGTGTACAATTAATGGCTTTTAGTAATTCACAGAATTTTGCAACTAGCATTACAATATATTTTAGAACATTTTCGTAACCACAAAAAGAAACCTCACACCAGTTGGCTGTAATCCGTCATTGACTCCACCCCCTAGCACTAGCCAACCACTAGTCTACTTTCTGTCTCTGTAGATTTCCATATTCTGGACATGTCATGTAAATGGTATCATACAATATGTGGTCTTTTATAACTTCTTTATTTAGCATTTTTTTTTTAATTTTATTTTTTAAGTATATTTTATTAATTATACTATTACAGTTGTCCCAATTTTTTCCCCTTTTGCTCCCTTCTGCCCGGTACCTCCATTCCCTCCAGCAATCCCCTCCCTTAGTTCATGTCCATGGGTCCTGCATATAAGTTTTTTGGCTTCTCCATTTCTTATACTGTTCTTAACATCGCCCTGTCTATTTTGTATCTACCAATTATACTTCTTAATCCCTGTACCTTTTTCCCCATTCTGCCCCTTTCCCCCAGCCCTGCTGATAACCCTCCAAATGATCTCCATTTCTGTGACTCTGTTCCTGTTCTAGTTGTTTGCTTAGTTTGTTTCTGTTTGTTTTTTAGATTCAGTTGTTGATAATTGTGAGTTTAGTGCCATTTTAATGTTCATAGCTTTGACCTTTTTATTTTTTTAATGTTTATTTATTGATTGGTTTGGGTGGGGGGGGGAGAGAGAGAGACATTGATTTGCTGTTCCACTTATTTCTGCATTCGTTGATTGGTTCTTGAATGTACCCTGACCAGGGACTGAACCCACAGCCTTGACATGTCAGTACAATGCTCTAACAAACTGAACTACCTGTCCAGGGCCTGATCTTCTTTTTCTTAAATAAGTCCCTTTAACATATCATGTAATAATGGCTTGGTGATGATGAACTCCTTTTGCTTTACCTTATCTGGGAAGCACTTTTTCTGCCTTTCAATTCTAAATGATAGCTTCGCTGGCTTGAGTAACCTTGGTTGTAGGTCCTTGCTTTCTATCACTTTGAATGCTTCTTGACAGTCCCTTTTTGCCTGCAAAGTTTCTTTTGGGAAGTCAACTGATAGACTTATGGAAACCCCTTTGTAGGTAACTGTCTGCTTTTTTATTACTTTTAAGATTCTCTCTTTATCTTTAACCTTCAGCATTTTAATTATGATGTGTCTTGGCGTGTTTCTTCTTGGATCCAACTTCTTTGGGACTCTCTGTGCTTCCTGGATTTGTATGTTTATTTCCTTCACCAAAGTAGGGAAGTTTTCTTTCATTATTTTTTCAAGTAAGTTTTCAATTTCTTGCTCTTCCTCTTCTTCTTCTGACAGCCCTATGATTTGGATGTTGACCCCCTTTTGGAGATGTCCCAGAGGCTTCTTATTCTCTCCTCATTTTTTTTGAATTTTGGTTTCTTCATTCTGTTCTGGTTGACTGCTTATTTTTTCCTTATGTTCCAAACTTGTTTATTTGAACCCTGACTTCCTTCCCTTCATTGTTAGTTCCCTGTGGATTTTTCTTTATTTCACTTAGTGGAGCCTTCATTTCTTCCCTTATGCTTTTGCTGTACTCAATGAGTTCTCTGAGCATCCTTTACACCAGTGTTTTGAATTCTGCATCTGATAGGTTAGATATCTCTGTTTCACTCAGTTCTTTTTCTGGGGTTTTTGTTCTACTCTTTCATTTGGGCCAATTTTCTTTGTCTCCTCAATTTGGCAGTCTCCCTCTGTTTGTTTCTGTATATTAGGTAGAGCTGCTTTGATTATCTCTCTTAGAACACCTGCAAAGTTGTGTGGGGCAGAGCCTTAGGTATTTGCTGGGGGTAGAGTACCTGTTTCACTGCTTTGTGACTGTGTGTGGGAGAGGGGTCAGAGAGAGGACAATGCCACTGTATGGCTGGCTTGCTCGGCACTCACCTCATTTCCAGTCACTTCACCCCCTTTCTGTACATGACTGGCGCCCCTCTAGTTGCTGCCCTGGTGGTGTTTCCCAGAGTGGATAGGTTTGCATATGTTCTAGTACCATGCAGACCCTTTAAATGGACAATTTCTTCCTGAGAAACCAGCAGTTTCTTCTGCCCCCCAAACCCCTACTAATTTTTAAAGCCAGAAGTTATGAGGCTTCATTTTCCCAGTGCTGGAACCCTGGACTGTAGTGGTCCAGCCTGGAGCTGGGATCTCTTGCTCCAAGGTGTCCCTCACAGTTTTTATCTGCCACACATGAATGTGGGACTGCCTGTTTCACTGCCCACGGCCACTGCTGCCTCACCACACCACACCATGTCCTCTCCACCCCAGCTCCCTATCTCTACACCTCCTACCCACCAGGATGAATAAGGCTTCTTTAAATCCTTGGTCATTGGACTTCCACACATTTCAACTTTCTGGCAGTTTTGGGTGTCTGTTTTGAGGTTAGTCGTGACCATTTTTATGGTTGTGCAAGGAAGTGAAGCATAACTACCTATGCCTCTATCTTGACAGGAAGTAGCTCTAGGACTATTGTTTTTAATGGCTATATAATAGACTATAAAATGGGCACTCATTTACCTGTTGATGTGTACTTAGGTGGCTTCCAGTTTTTCGATGCTATAAGTACAATTGACCTTTGAACAACATGGGGGTGAGAGGTACCAACACCTGTGCAATCAAAAACCTGTATATAAATTTTGACCCTCTCAAAACTCAACTACTAATAGCCTACTGTTGATTGGAAGCTTTACCAGTAACATAAATAATTGATTAACACATGTTTTGTATGGTGTATGTATTACATGTTCTTACAATAAAGTAAACTAGAGAAAATGTTATTGAAGGAATCATAAAGAAGAGAAAGTACATTTACAGTATGTATTGAAAAACAATTTGCATATAAGGAGACCCATGCAGTTGAAAACCCATGTTATTCAAGGGTCAACTGTAATAGTTAAATGAGTACATCTGCTTTATGATTTTTCCATATTTTAGATTATTTTCATGGTATGATTCTCAAATACTCAATGGGGTCAAATTGAATAATTTTTAAAATGCATATTGCTAAATTCCTGCTGAGTTTCTTCTCATAGGTGTGGCACATGTTTAGGAAAGCCTGAGCGAACTGGTGTCATTTCCCTAACATTTGGTATTGTTTGCATTTCTTTTTTTTTTTATTTTTTTCTTATATATATATATTTTTTAAAGATTTTATTTCTTTATTTTTAGACAGAAGGGAAGGGAGGGAGAAAGAGAGAGAGAGAAATATCAATCTGTGGTTGCCTCTCATGCACCCTCTCCTGAGGACCTGGCCCACAACCCAAGCATGTGCCCTGACTGGGAATCAAACGGGCGACCCTTTGGTTCACAGTCCTGTGCTCAATCCACTGAGCCACACCAGCCAGGGCTGTTTGCATTTCTTTTCATTACAAATCTGTTTCCCTACTTACTTGTTTCTCAATTCTACTTTTCTTTTATGACTTTTCTGTTCATTTCCTTTGCCCATTTACCTATTGATAGCTCACATTGTTTGTCTTGCCAATTTGAATGAGCCTCTTTGTTCATTTTCCAGCCTGCAGTTTGTCTTTCTGTTTAGCTGGGTAATAGTTTAGCAGGAAAATGTAGTAAAGATAACCGTTTCTAGATCCTCACTCTCTGGGTCCACACCTGAATGCCACTAATTGTGTAACCTTGGGCAAGTAACTGATCTGTAAACGACAATATTAACACCCATGCCTAAGAGTGCTGTGATAAAAGGACTGTCTGACACAGTTTGCCACCCAGTGTATGTTAGCTATTACTAAGTTTGTTTTTAACAAGAAGGGGTGAATTTTGAGGTGGGAAAATGGACAGACTATAAACTAAATCCCTTGTACATTTTCTCCTTCCCCAGGTACTGGCCACCATGTTTCTCCTCATGATTGTCTTTGCCCTCTTTGACTCCAGAAACTTGGGAGCCCCCAAAGGCCTAGAGCCCATTGTCATTGGCCTCCTGATTATTGTCCTTTCTTCCTCTTTGGGGATGAACAGTGGCTGTGCCATGAACCCAGCTCGAGACCTGAGTCCCAGACTTTTCACTGCTTTGGCAGGATGGGGGTTTGAGGTCTTCAGGTAAGTAACAGTGGTGGGAGCAGAGCAGAAAGAAAGATTCATGCTGTGCTTTATCAGGGAAGGCTGTGCTTTGAATTGGGATCCAGAAGAGTATGATTAGAGAGGTGGAGGTCAACTGTACACTCTGGTCATGAGTGTGGAATGCTTTACTGGTGATTTGTGATAAGATGGGGCTCTGTGTGTGTGTGTGTGTGTGTGTGTGTGTGTGTGTGTGTGTGTGTGTATTAGAGACAGAGAGAGAGAATTCCAAAGAGATAGCCCTGTCCTATATATAATTGATATATGGTTTTATGTGAATATTTTGATTGTAGAACTTGTCTACAGATTCACTTTGTGACAAAGATGGACTAGAATTTACGTCTTTCAATAATACTTCAGGGCTCTTTCTAGTGAGTGATGCTAGTATGCTTTGTTTATTCATTAATTCATTCAGCAGATCTTCACTGAACACAATCGATGCTGTGGTCTTTGAGCTAGGCAAGGACATTTTGAAATTAGCTAAATCAGTAGTCTTGAGCAATGTAAAAAGTACTTTGGCAACCCCTCAAACACAGTTTGGTGGAATAACTAATTCTTCCTGAGGAAGCTCAGAAAGGCACCACTGAAACAAGAGCTGAGTTAGGTCTTCAGGTATGAGTAAAAAATTCTTGTCAGATAAAAGAGAGCCTGTGCACAGGAAATGGCAAGACCCCATGCTTTCAACCTCAGAAGGTGCTGAGGAAGTATGCCAACTGTTAGTACCAAGCTGCCAGGTCAAACTTTGCCCATTAATTCCTTTCCACTCTCCCCGCATAAGGTCACAGTGACTCATCCCATCCACTTGTCACGCATTCTACAGGAAAGGAACTTACTTTGGTTCCTCAGGAAACAGGGCTCTAATATGGAGAAAGAGAAGTAGGAAAAACACGTGGTAACAAATTTTCATTTAATGTTTGCTGTGAGAACAAAGGATTTGAGTGTCCCTAAATGCTGACCTGCACAAATAGTCATACCCACATGATGACTGTATTTAAGTGAGAGTTTGTCTTGCCTTCGTAAGTATAGGAACCAAGCCGTTAAAATAATTGACACCACTCACCATTCACATCACAACCACAGACAGTGTTGAGAACTGCTAGATTATAAGCATCATGAGGACAGAAACCTTGATGGATTTTTCATGGTTGTATCCACAGGGACAAAAATAGGGCCTGGCACACAGAGAGCCTACATGTCCGAGGAGATGAGGGTTATGAGGAGCATCAAGCAACATACCTATCTTTAAGAAATGAGCAACACAATGAATTTTCTAGAGCAGTGATTTTCAGCCAGAGGCATTTTTGCCCCCAGGGACATTTGGCAATATCTGAAGACATATTTGGTTGCCACAACTGGAGAAGGTGGGAGCCGAAGTTGTTACTGACATCTAGCAGGTAGAGGCTAGGATACTGGGATACTGCTACGCATTCTCCAATACCCAGGACAAATTCCCACAACAAAGAATTACTTGGTCAAGAGTGCCACAGTTAAGGAGCTCTATTCCAGAATAATCACCACTAGAACACAAGAAGGTTGAATAAAATGTTCCCAATTGAAAAGGATCCTTTGTGTTCTTCCAATGAAGAATCAATATATAAGTCCTAAAGATATCCTTAGTCCCAGAGTCCAGAATTAGCGCATAAATTCTCTTTAATCCCACGTTCCTGAGCTTCATGCAGGACATCACTACCTCACCGCCAAGTCACCTCTGGTAGCTTCATACAGACCTCTAGAATTAAGATGCCCCAAGGTGATCTGGCCTTCTTTCGAGGCCTTGATGATTTGCATTACTTGATTATTCACCCAAAGCTCTACAAGTGATGGTGGTTCTAGCACAGGCAGAGATCTTGCCTATTCTTTCTTGTCTTTGCTAATATGTGGTAGTAGAACATATTTGTGGGAGAATGCTGAATCTCTAAATGCCAAACTCTGACCTCCACATCCCTTTTTAGCCTCAGGGTCTTTTTCCCTTCATGCATTCATTTATTCATCCATGCAGCTACCCGATCTCTTATTCAAGGCTCTGTGCTAAAGATGGTAAGACCCAGCTGCTGCCCTTCACGGCATTGTTATGTTCTATTTCAGAGGAGTTAGCATAGGCTCCTGCACGAGGTTGAAGCTGCCAAGTGCAATAGAAACAGAGTTGACTAATTTTTCCAGGAGAGGTCTGCAGCTCCAAATTTAGGAATTATGGCAGTAAAATGGGGGCATTTTGTGGTATCCGGACATGTTTAAATGGGATATTTCCAAGGATATTTCACTTGGACAGGACCCTATATACAAACACTAAATGTTAAAATAACAAGTGATCCAGTCTAGGTGGAAGGGTGCATGAAGAAGATGGAAAATAGCATTATTGACAGACCTTAGAGGTCCGAGACTCCCGGAAAGAAAATCTGGGGATTTTGCTTCTCTGTACTCTATAGATTATGGGGAACAGCAAAAGATTTAGGGCGGAAGTTGGACGTGATTAAAACTTTAATTTAGAAAAATTAGTCTGACATAATAATATAAAAACAGATTTAAAAGGAGAGAGTACAGGAGGCAGAGAGCAGTTAAGAAAAAGCTAGGCTTGCTGGTAACCTCAACCAAAAAGTTCCCAAGAAAACCTTTGAGAGAGAGCAGCTCTCCTAAGTGTCCCTAGTGTGTCCCATTCTTTCAAGGCTCTGTAGCCAAGGTACACATCTCAGTAGATATCCTAGCTTGGGTCCGCATCCTCAGATGAAGCTAAGGATGCTTATTCTCAGATACATCACTTGTCCCTGTATGGCAAGCAGTGAGGTTGACCATGAAGCGGGCCACCAGAAGGTCTGACCAAAGCAAGCGGCAAAAGACCCTTCTCCCATAAGCATCGGGATGTTTCCCATTCAGATTCTCTCCATGATCTCACATTAAGATGTCAATGACTAAATGGATGAAGGGTCTTGGGGTAATTTTAATCTTTTAAAAATTTACCCAAAGGAATGAATGAATCCCTGATAATAGCACCTTAAGCAATTATCACAGACATTTTTCTGGCAAAACCATAGTGTACAAATGACCCTGTGTACATGTAAGACTTGGCCAGGCAGGTAGCCCCATCTAAGCCGCTCCACTTATGACCTGTGACCCTGGCACAAAGTGTTCAACTCTGACAGGAGGAGGGTCCATCCAGGGAAAGGAGAACACGTGCCCTGGCAGATATCTTGGACGTAATCTGTTAAATGTCAGTGAGAAACTCACCATAAAATAGTGATGGAAGAAAGGGAACAGAGGGCCCCCTGGCTCTTTAAAGCCCCTGTGCCTCTCACAGAAAGTTCCATCTGGATTTGGGGGCGTGGGAAAGGGCGCTGCCAGAGCAGCAGGGCCCTGTCCTCTCTCCCATGCAGTAAGAGCGACATCTTGTGGCTACAGTGCTCAATCTCAGTGCTGTTCCCGTGAGCCTGCATTTATAATCTGAGTGCTTGGATGATCCAATGGAAGGGACCACTGTGCTGAAGGAAGCATGAATCTCAGAGAGGGGGAGATTCACCCACAGACCTCCTAGATAATCCTAAGATTAGAACTCAGTTTCATGAATCCTAGAACAGGCCTCTTGTTTGTGCTTATTTCCTTTATTATCATTTCCTATCAAAATTTGAGGCAAAGCAAAAGACCCTATGTGTAGTTGCTAAGCATGATGATGTTATGTTATTGAGCACAGCCCTGCATGCTTCCCTTCACCAGACCACTATGAAATCCTCTTGTGTATCAGTGTGCTCCTCCAGTTCCCCTGTCCTCCTCCGCATTGTCTTGAATTAGTTTTTGTTCATCACTGCCCTGTTTTAAAAAGTTTAATCACAAATGTATACATCATAAGCAGTATGTCACATAGTTTCGCTTGCTATTGAGCATTCATGTTCCTTTCCACTGATTTATGTAAATAGTTTCCTGTCTCCAATAGAGATGGTGACAATTCACAACGACAGCTGCTTTCTCACAGAACTGTATCTTTAATATAATGTATTGACATGGAGGATTTCTGGAGGGGACAGGGAATCACAGCACTTATCAGAGAACCGTGGTCTCAAAAAATAAGCACCAGACTAAATTATATTTAGCACATAATTCCTGTTCCACCTTTGATTTTTTTTTAAATTCACTCATTCATTGACAAACATTCCTGATTGTTCTGTGGTTGCCTTCGCACATCCATGATGTCCAGGAATCTCTACACACCTTTCCAGTCATGATCCTCAGAACTCATTATTTCAGGATGACAGAAAGTAAACTCCTCAGTAATCAACCTGAACTTTGGCTAGATGTCCTCTATGATGGCCATGTTCAAGGACTCTGTTTTCTGAAAGGAAAATAAATGGGACACATTCTCTCATAAGTACTAATAGGACAATGGAGTTGATCATCTGAAATCAGGTGTATTGGAAAACCTGGGCTGCCAAGCTGCGATGAGTGAGTGCCCTGATGCTTGTCTCTTGCTGTGTGAAAAGGGAGCCGTGAACATGAGAAAGAATAGCTGGTTAGTGAATAGCAAGCAATGATAGCAGGAGGAAGGCCAAGTGATATATTGCTAATTCCTTGTTTGCTTTCAGAGCTGGAAATAACTTCTGGTGGATTCCTGTAGTGGGCCCTTTGGTTGGTGCTGTCATTGGAGGCCTCACCTATGTTTTTATCATTGAAATCCACCATCCAGACCCTGACTCTGACTTGGAGGCAGAACAATCCGAAGACAAACCAGAGAAACATGAACTTAGTGTGATAATGTAGCAGCATGCTCAGTTCTAGGTTTACAACTGGCTGAGCTGATGTTCTCTTCAGGCAAGAAGTCATCTAGGTGTCTATGTTTTCATAAAACTGGGGTGGACCTGCCCAATGTTCTCTGCTGGCCATTTGGGACACCTAATTGGAAAAGCATCTGAATGAAGTTTTGAAAATACTGACGTCCTCTCTACCACTTCCCTCTTCCCGGCACACCACCACCCCGCCTCGCCCCCTGCCCCCGGCCTCAGAATGGCATGAACTGACGACTGAAACAGCCTTCTCTCCACCCTGTTCATTTCATTCTTTAATGTGAAATTGTATTATTGGGTGAGCACTAATAACTTGGAACTTTGACCATGGACTTATTTGGATAGTCTCAACTGCATTATCTGTATAAAAACAGTATCACCAAAAGACTTATTTTCAAACCCACAAAGGTTACATTCTGAATATCAACCAAAACTAAACTGAAAGATGAAACAGTGGTTTCAGTTAACATATCCATGAATTGGGGAACTGAAGCGTTAATGCCCTAGTTTTGCTGTGCCACTATTATTGTATAACTACTGATATTATCCAAGCCTAAGGATGTGGGAAGCAGGAGAATGCAGCTGGAAAGCATAGAAGAAGGACATTGTGGCTTTCAGAAACCTCAGGAGACAAGATAAATTTGGGAAACCAAATGGAATTTTTTAAATGGAAACCATTTATCAGAATAATCCCTTGCTCTTTGCATTTTTAGAGGGCACCAATTAATTTCCTGGTCTTCAGTATGTAATAACCTAAAATACGATCATAACCCTCAGTCATGAAAAATAGATCACTCTGTGTTTTTAGCTCAAATGTCTTTTCCTAATTGCCCACTTGAGGACAGACATTTGACAAGTGAAGTCAATGACTGCACTCATCCATTCTTCTATACGTGCCTTAGAAACCAAATACAGAAAGCCATTGGCTCCTGGTCTAGTATAATCTTCAGGATGGAAGGTCCCTGGAAATAACAACCTATTGGGATTTACAGTAAACAACGCACTTTCACACGTATTACCTAATTGAATCCTCCTAGGAACTGTCTGAGCTTAATACCGTGCTGCTCATTTTTTGGATAAGAAAACAAAATGTCAGGGAAGCTGAGTAGCCTAGGTCAGGTAGAAAGTGGAACATCTCGCATATCCTACACCTTTCAGAAGACCAGTACGTGCCTGAGAATCTCAGCCAGCCCTAAGGGCCGGCCAAAGGAGCAGGACTGACTGCTGCCAGAATGTGTACACCTTCTGCACGTAATTCTCCTGGATCCTAAGATAAAAGACTTTCATTGCCTGGTTTTATTCCCGCTGTTCTGAAGCATTAACAAAGGAAAGAGGTAACCATTGGATCGCATATTTCATCTGCTGAAAAACATTTTTGGAAGACCTCCTTTCCTAGGCCACGGTTGTTACTGCTCAGTCTTGATCTTCCCTCCCTGCCAATCCTGCATATTACATTCAGGAAATTTCCTCTGGGTTAGGCTCTTCCCTTTAAAATCCTCTAATTGATGTTCTATGGTCAAAAGAGTCTCTGAGTTACAAACACCAGAGAATTGCCCTACAGCAAGTGTTGCATCTTTAGTCAAACTATTAAAAAGCCCAGAATTCCCACAGGACCCAGTTTTTCAATTTCTCTGTGATAATAACAGACCCACAAAAAGCAGATGTGAAATAGCTCTGACGGCCTGTGTTCTGTAATCTACTGACACAGAATTTTTTTTCTTGTTCCAAAACTACTTGGATAATTCTTATTTGAAATAAAATTGGATTTTTTTTTTGTTTGAGTTCTAATAAATATTAAGACTGCTAAGCACACTTAGTTCAGAGATTGTCTAGCCCATCTCCAAATTACATCTTCTGAGAAGCTTTTGAAACTGCTAATGTCCAGCTGGTCATTTGTAATGTCTCAGGTCATTCTAATGTGCAGCCAGGGTTAAGCACATTGACTTGCTAAATTACATGGCTCTAAGGTTTCTTTGAGAACCAAGTCTAGTGGCGGCCAGGTCATCCTGGTCAGTTTCTCAGTCTTGGGATCCTCATGGACTAGAGAGCAGTGGTTCCTGCTGCTCCCACCTACCACTTTTGCAAAGGGGACATTTAACAATATCTAAAGACATTTTTGGTTGTCGTGACACAGGAAGGGGTGTTGCTGACATCTGGTGGGTAGAAGTCAGGGATGCTCCTGAACGTCCTACAGGACAATGGCCCTCCCCGGCAGCAAAAAATTACTCAGCCCTAAATGTCTATAGTGTGAAGGTTGAAACACCCTGAATTAGAGAAAAAGTGAGGAGTAAGAGAAGACGCTGAAATCCTATTCCCTAATTCAAGTTCTACCAAAAACAGAGATGCCCAACAAGTCAGGAGCAGACCTTGGGGATGCATTATAATTATTAGAGAATGGAGTTTTCAGGTGGGATTGTGGAATCAATGATCCACACAGGTGTTCATTACATACTACTTGGTGATTAATGACTCGGATTATGAAGAGGAAATGTACATTTATGAAAATCAACCTCAGGAAGTTTTTAAAATGAGAAAAAGTCCTCTTGTTCCAGGTGCTCACACTCAAGTCCTCCCCTCCCCCACCAAACAGGTGGGTCTGCCGGGGTCGGGTTCTTATCCAAGACAACGTCTATGAGGTTGAATGATATGTTCAGAAGTCACTTAGATAGAAACAACTAACCCACTTATTAAAAGGATCCTTTAGGAAATAAAATTGTAACACGCTCCCTCTCTCTCTTCCTTGTCAATCCTAAAACTTAATAGAAACATTTATTTTTATGCCAAAAGTAGAATTTATGTTTTTCCAACAAGTTGAGATCTCAGGGCATGTCTAAGGTTGTAGACTTTTCTAACCGGTAAGAGCCAGAGTTAATATTCAGCTATTGAACAGGATAAGTAGAGTAAAAGTGTCACATTTAAAATCAGATCCTTAAGATATAAATTTTTATGCCCTTTACATTGCTTTCACATACACACGCTTGTCTCATTTAAAGGTACGTCAGTGCTCAAAAATGTCATCATTGGAAAAGAATGAGCCCTTCCGGTTATAAAGGATGATTTTAAGTTTTATGGAGCCACAGAACCTGTTATTCCAATAAAAAAATGTGGTAACCCACAAGTAAACCTCCAGAGCTGCTATAAACAAAGGATGGGGAAGGGGGAGGGGGTTTCCTTTTGTCTATGATTCATCTTACACCCCTCCCCACCCAAACCCCACACAGCCCCTGAGATGTCTCAGAAAAGAAGCTCTATGTGTGGGAGTGCGGGGGGCGGGGCAGGAAGGCAACCTTCAGAACACAGTTTCACAGCTTGAAAACCATTGATAAAATAATTGGAACAAGTTGTTGAACATTTTTATAGAAGTTTCAAGGGTAGAACCTACCAAAAGCTATGTTAGTTCAAACTTACATAATTTTCCCGGCTTCTTAATAAATGAATTAGGTAGTTTAAACAATTACTCAACACACCAAACATCACCCACAAAGAGATGTTGTCTTATCAATTCTCAAACTGGGACTTTAGGTTCTCTGAGATAACATGTTTGTTAATCACAGCACATGGAGAGAAGAAATGGTAGTCCTGGTCAGACGTACTGTGTCGACCCTCTAAGTCTATACAAATAAATAGGTAGATAGGTAGGTAGGTAGACAGATAGGTAGAGAGATAGACAAATAGATGATGGAACAACCCACCAAGACTTGGAACTGTTTCTTGTTGCTGGAAATGGAGTAGCTGTTATCCAAGAGAAGCTGTCTCTGGATTAAGGAAGGGAGAACCCCCTTATAAACGAAATATGAATAAATGACCTGAATTAGCTGACAGAATCCGTGTGTGGGCTCTCAAACACAATTTGATTCTATCTCCCTCCAGGGCTACATTAGTTCTTTGGGAAGCTTTAGGCACTTTTACCTATTTGGGACCTTCCCTCGCTCCGCCCCCGCCCCCCTCCACACACACACAAATGATAAATTACACTTTACAGCTGTACTGGTGGTAGGCTCCATTATATTATTTTTAATTATCATGTTAGAAAAGATTAAAACATTTCCGTGGGCTACTAAAATTGTACTGGGCGCTAGGTTTTGTGCCGAATAAGTTGGCCCTGCCTCCTGCTTCCCTCTAGCGCGCCCTCTGGTGTCCAGAGCCCAGTCACACAATGGCTTTTTTCCTCATGGCCATCAACTCCCTTCCTGTAGAGTCTCAGGAAATAGGGCTCCGGGAAGACTGAAGCCCGAGGTGGGGGTGAAAACAGGGGGGAGCTTTGGGAGTCCTGGAGGTGGTGAGGAATACTCCAGAGGCCAAGGCGAAGGCCTCAGGAATCCTCCGTATCTCAGTCCCTCCCTCCGTGTGAAGTACCTAGTAGGAGAGATTTTTTGGCCTCCTGAGAAGAAAGCAAGAGGGTCCTGGGCCCTGGGCACCGTAAGCAACAGAGACCCTGTGCTACGTTATTAACGCAGAATTCTTGTGTAATAGCTCATAGTTTACAAAGCACTTTCCAATCTAGTATCCGATAAGAAGCTCAGAAGATCCCAGCAAGTAGATTATTATCCCCATTTAGAGATGAGAAAACAGGCTCAGAGGTCTGAATGGTTTGCACCAAGATCCAGAGTGAACAGTGGCAGAGGTGGGATGCAAATCACACGTCTACATGGAATGACCAATGGTCCTAGTTTGCCTGGGACTCAAGGATTTTCTGAGGTGTTTGAAGTCCGTGCTAAAGCCAGGAAGGGTCAGTCCCCCTACCTTCTGAGACAAGACCTACACACTTCGCACCACTGTGCCAATAAATATGCAAAGCAGAGAAAAGAGTAGAATGAAAGTACAATAGTATAATGTATCTCCATACAGCAGCAGCAGTTGCCAATACATGGCCAATATTGTTTCCTCTATCTGCCTCATTCTGCCTCACTGCTTCCCTGGGATTCTTTTTTGAAGTAAATCCCAGATGTGATATCATTGTATTCATTAATATTTAACATGTATATCTAAAAGATAGAAATTCTTTAAAAATATTAATATCACGCATAAAAATAATTATCAATAATTCTTAATATCATCAAAATGCAGTCATAGTTTCTATTTCCT